CAAGAACCTGGCTCCTGAGGCCAAGGCCCTGCTGGCAGGCCTGCTTAAAAAAGATCCCAAACAGAGGCAAGTTGTCCCATCACAATAAGCACTACTTTATGAATATTATGAAGAATAATTAGAGAGAGAATTAAATGGCTAAGTTGAACCTTAAAGATTTTTACAGCCACTTAACCAAAAATAAACCGCCTAAAATATGTTTTTGATTAAAGCTTAAAATCCTTGAATACATGAATATTTATTCATTGTTTTGAACTTTATCTGCAGCATAATGGATACATGGCAGCAGTTCAGCTGCACTTGTTGCACTCTGTTAGTTTTCTGAATCTTCCACTGTGCTCAGGGGCACCATGTATTCAGCTATAAAAGGAGTAACCATGTTATTTAAGCCCATGTTCTTTCTTGATTTGTTTTGGCTCAGGATAATGGCCATAAACAGGAATGTAATTAGTTGTTGTTTTGACCAAGCACTGCGTTTCTGGTAATAGTTGGAGAACTGCTAATATTAGCACATTAAGGACTGCCTGCAGGCTTACTAACACATTGCATATGGTAAGGAAATGAAAAATAAATTTGTCTACAAATTGGTAAATATAAGTCAGTGGAGACCAACACAACAAGTGCTTGTTGTGCCCATCTAATGACTGTGTTTTGTACATTTATTTGTAGCTGGTGAGTGTGTGGGTGGTGGTGACGATGATGGTGTTTTTGTTGTGTTTACAGGCTCGGAGGTGGTCCAGACGATGCCAAAGAAGTGATGAGCCACAAGTTCTTCACCTCCATTAACTGGCAGGATGTCATTGACAAAAAGGTGAGATGAAAACAAACGATGGGGGAAACTGGATGACCGGCATGCGAACTGACTGATTTCCTTCTTCTCCTCAGCTTATTCCACCCTTCAAGCCACACGTAACATCCGAGACGGACACGCGCTACTTTGACGACGAGTTCACAGCACAATCTATTACAATAACTCCTCCAGACAAGTGTAAGTGCACTTAAGTGGCTGCTTTTCTTTGTGCTTGGATTTATTTTTCTAAGCAGCTCTAAGTTGTTGTTGTTTTTTTAACGTCTAGTTTCATCTTTGTATCATCTTCTTCTCTCCCCTCCAGATGACAGTTTAGACGTAGAGGATTCAGATCAGCGTACTCACTTCCCTCAGTTCTCCTACTCTGCCAGCATACGGGAATGATCCCTCAGACTTTTGAATGAGCAGGCAGGCTGACACACGATCACAATCCCACATACACACTTGCACTGCTGAGGAAATTTGAACGACACCAACAATTTAAAACAAAAAAAAACAACAAAAAAAATAAAGGAAAAAGAAAGTGGCACAAGACACATTTTCATTCTGTTTTTAACGCACACATACTGGCAAATCAGACAAGACACAGATCATAGTAGTAGGGAATGAACACACACAGACCCTGAATGACTGACCTCAGCAGGTTGGTGTGGATAGACTGGCAGCTTTGTCTCTGTAAGTCCTCTCAGGGCTTGCGTTAGGCTTCCCTGCGGGAACTCTGCTGCAACACATCAGAGCCTTGACACTTTGAAAACCAGGTTATGCCAGCAAGTAACACCTCTTTACCAGCTGTTCCATGGTTCACACACACAAATAAACACACACCAAAATCTACCAACTCATGCACAGACTGCATAAATGTACTTGATAGAGTTTTACAAAACCAGTATAATCAAGATTGGGAAAATCACAGCAATTTGATGATGGGGGAGACAAAGTTTGATTTCATCACTTGTTACGGTTTTAAATGTAAAGCCATATTTCTGCATTTTTTTTTTACATTTTTTTTTAACAAGTGCTCTTTCTGGAACTTGCTGTTACAAATCAAGAGTGGGATTTTTCCCTACAGTTGGGTTAAAGGGGGGCAATAAGGAAGAGGAGAAGGGTAAGGAGGGGTTGCCATTACTGTTTGCACTGCTTGTGTGTGCGTGTGTGTATGCAAATGGTCGAGCAGATGTGTATGTGCATATAGGGTGCAAGAGAATGTATGAACAACCATTTTGAGTCTCAGCCATCCATTCGTGTCTGTTTTTATGCACGATGTTTTGGGGGTTTTTTTTAACTCTGAACTTTTGCTGGAATATGGACAAGAGAGGACGCCACCGAGCACACTAAACACGCTGGGTGTTTTGTTTTTGTTTGTTTTTTCTTAAGGGAACAGGCATGTCATTTATGATTGGCTGGCTTATTGCTAAGTTGAATCAGTCTGGATTATAAACTGGGATCGTGTGTATGGCTCACATTTGCTTTAAAATACTGCATTAAATTTATCTTGATGCAGCAGACAAGCTCCTAGCATCCAAAGTGTGCGACTAACTTGTAGCCAGTTGAAAGTCTAAGCAAGTTTTCCTTCAGGCTAGCCGAACTTCCATGTTGAAGCAGTAGGAATAGAAAGAAATCCCCCCCCCCCCCCCCAACCTGTCTACAGAGACCAATCTAGAGGAGAACAGACATCTACTGCTCTCACTGGAGAATTTGGCACCAGTCGTTTATTTTCAATCTGTATTACCAATTTTTTTTTTTTTGTGTGTGTGCTGTTTTGTTTTTTTTAATTTAGCCCGTGGGTGTCTCCCCTGTATTTAGAGAATGAGCGTTCAATCATTGGTAAGAGGCCAAAATTTGACTGAGTTGTTAAACACTTCACATGATTCCACCTTTGATGTTTAGTCTTTGTGTTTTTAGGGTTGGTTTTTTTTTTTTGGTTTTTTTTCTTAAATTCTGTGTTGAAGCACTTAAATCTGTGTAGCTGTACATCTGGAGCAACAGTCTGCAGGTTTACAATCAGACTAAAAGCTGCGTGAGCTGTTTGACCGACCTTCAGCCTGCGAAAGAGGAGGAACTGATGGAAACGCAAGCGCTGATGTTGAAATAATAAAAGCCCTGAACATGATATTGAAAGAGTACTCAAATTGATGAACGTGTATTCCATAATGCTGGAAGAGGATGCTGGTTGCTCTTTGAACTTAACTAAAGGAACATCAAAACTTTTTTTTTTTTTTTTTGTATGTCATCATTTTTTGTTTGGTTTTTTTTCCATCTTCCCCCCCCCCATCTATTTCTCAAACCTTTGAAGACACATTGTCTTGTTTGAGTATACGTTATATAAGATATATATTAAACTTTTTTTTAAACCACTTTCTTTTAAGTTCTTCATTTCAAGGGGATTCCACGTGAGGATTGCTTATGTAGCAATTTGACTTGCATTGTCACATCAGACACATCAAAAATGAATTTAATGGTTTTATTAATAATAATAATAATAATAATAAGCTGATATTGGAATAGGAGGGAAAAATGGAAGTTTGTCACTTTTTACTTAAAGAGACATTTGCCCCAAAATGGGTTAATTGTGAGCAAGCCAAGAGCAGCACTTGACTGAACTTACTGTGTATATAAATATTTTCTGCAACAAATCAGCATTCTCTGGGACATCCCTCGTGTCATGTCACATCTTTATTTCTTCAATTTTAAGTTTGTGTGAATGTTGTGGTGTGACAGAGTGTGCCTGTGAGTGAAAGTGGTGAAATAGACACGAGAATCTAAAGGCCCCTGCTCCTCAAATGATGATGATTATGTGGTGATCAAATGGCTTTGATTTACAGTTCACAACTCCAGCACCTCTTCTCACTGGCTCAGGCACAGCCATCATACTCTAGCCTAGCGTCCTGCGTTTTGGAAACAGCAGGATCAGATATCAGAACCATTGCACTGATGGACTCCACTGTGGACTTGCCTTCATTGCTATCACGGCCATAAGGGGGTGCTGCTGGACTTCTTTTGATATTGGTTGTGAAGCCATACACTGAACCTCGCTGCTGGCCACGCTTTAAGCAATGCTTCAATGCTAAACATGCAAGTTAATACCCCTGACCTCTCCTGTAGGCGTACACGGGCACAACAAGTGCCTCTTTATTATTTTGTAAATACCAAAAAAAAAAAAAAAAAAGAAGCAGCTAGATGGGGAATGCAGCATTAGTAGAAGGGGAGGCCTGCAGCTTCGTAGTGTTTGATTTGCAGCTTTACTATGGTTATCTTGCTTCTTTGTATATTTGAATGTGATCAGCAGTCAGGAATGTCACACCTGATGCCGGTATAAAAGATTTTTTTCCTCCCCTTTTTTTTTAATATAGATTTTTTTTTTGCTTGTTGCTGTTAGTTAAGGCTCAGAGGGCAATGAAAAAAAGCAATCTCTAAGGGGAGGACTTTGTCCTGGAAGGCATTTCCAGCCCCCTTTTGCAAGACTTTACAATGTAACGGGTGATACCTGCTACAGTATGGTAGCTTATAACATTTGCAACTATAATGTGCCAGTAAACATTTTTACTGAAGAAATCTGTGTGTGTTTTTCTTTCATGAACTTGGTCAGTGTAAGCTACATATACATGCACTCCTTTTCCTGGATAAGGTTGTCAACTAAAGGGACTGTACGTTTAGATTAATGTTACACAATGAGTGTTAGAATTTAAATATAGATGCATATTAGGCCAGAAATAAATTCAACCCAGACCTAGTTGAAGCCATGAGATGCTTTGAAATACCATTTGTGCAATTATTTGAGAAAGGACATTTCCTACAAGCCAATTCTAGCAACTCAATTATTACATCATTTTGTAATTCGACGATTGCACTATGATAGCTTTGTTTGTATTATAAAACTAGTGAAGGAACATGGCCTCGCGTTGACCTTCGTGGGGTTGCATAAAATGCCCCAATTATGAGAGTATAATATAACCGTTAGCATTGTTCGATCTCACTAAAACGTAAGTCGCGGTGGACAAAACATTTCATTTAAGACTTAAAGTTCATCTTTTTCCTTGAACTACGCAGATGAATTTTATGAGCTTTTAAGGACCCATGAATGTCTCACGGTTTGACGTTTTCGCTACAATATGCATTTTTGCGCAATCTCCATTTGTTTATTTAGCCATCTATCTGGCTATCCACCGGAAGTTCTAACCTGTCCATCACACCATTGACCCCGCCCCAATCAGTGGGCTCACCTGTCTTTATTAATGGCTGTTCTGGCTGCACGACTCTGCTCTAGGCCTCCGTCGACACCCGTGGATAAGTAGCTGCAGCGGCCGTGCATGAGACCTCTGTCTTCGGCTGTGACCATGGCCAGGACTGGGTTCTGCGACACCAAGCCTCTGCTGGACTTACACAAGAAGGTTTGCTCGGTGTGCTCCAGAGACCCAGTCTTAAACATATGTGATATACTTCTAAAATCAACTGTTAGAATGAAGCATGGAAATTTCTTCAGTTTCCATGCTTCATTTCTTTTCTGCCTTAAACCTTGGTGTGCTTGCTCAAATGCGGTGAGAATTTGGGCAAGCTGGTGGAGAAGTGAATGAGGAAAAGTAACCTTTACCTCATTAATCACATTCCTTTGTTATTGCACCCCGTTATCATCTCACAGCAACATAATTAGATGAGTCTGAAACTTTTTTTACTGCACTGCAGTCACCTTTCTCAAAGTCTACAAGTTTCTGTTATTAGACTGATTGTGTTCACCTGCCATGAGTCCATGTGGCTGTAACAGGACCTTGATGTGAGGCACGCTTTTTGAACAAATCATTGCAGAGAGATACTGTCAGCAGATTGTCTCACAAACTGTACTGGGGGGAGAAATGCATAGCCATTCAATTTTAATGTCAGAATCAGAAAGTGTCAGTCAGTTACCATCTGTGATCCCTCCAGGCGGATGAAAGGCGAGCCCCACTAAGAACCTGGGCTAATGCCTCTGGGCCTATAGATCGCTGGCTGCCTGTAGAAGCAGACGAGTCCAGGATGAACTTGCTTAAAATGGAACCAGAACGCAGATGGGTATGCTTTTTGTCTCCCAACACTAACATGACTTCATGTACTTAAAGTGACTTAATGTATTCTTTTGCCAGCTAAGTGTAGAATAGTTGCAGGAATTCTGTGTGGATGTAAAGTTCCTCTCCTTTGGAGAAAAAAGTCTGGGTTAGAATTGGTGCTTTTATTTTTTCCTTGCCATGATCATAAGAGTTGCAAATTGAGCATCATTTTGCAATGATCAAATGTGTTCTCTGCAGGAAAGGAGGCTGTCCTTGCAAACCAGTGATGGCATCATCATGGGGTTTCATGAGGACAGTAGGGCATGGTCACCTGGTAAATTAATTGGTATGTTTTGTTTTGAAAGATCAGAGCCATAAAACCACGTGGTGCCAACATATAGGATGAATGGTTAATAAAATTGAATTGTCAGTGCTCATAAGAGGGAATATCGTTTTAAATCTGCTCAACGTTTATAAACTTGTGCTTCTCTTGCTGTCCTGTATAGCAGAAGGGTGTGTAGAAGATCCTGTGCTGCTTTATCCTTGTGGCCTGCAGGGTCTTCCTAGCCTACAAGTGCTGGTTCCTAGTTTGTTGCACCATGAAATAGAGAAGGCATTAGAGAAATTAGATGTCATATGGGACCGGACATATGCCTGGGAGATGTTTCTAGACATGATGGTGAGACACAATTAAACCCCTTCATGTCTTATCTGAGTTAACCTTGTCTTTCAAGTGGGCTGTGTGCACAGGTCACTTGTAATGTGACTTCACACACTTATTATTGCACTCTCATCCTTTATTTTTTTTTAATGTGCCTTCTGTCTTCTATTTTCATCCTTTAGCGAACCCAAACACAGAACTCTCTTCCCAGTGCTGACCTCCCCAGGTATTTTACTAATGCCACTCGAGGTATTCTGGTGGATTGGCTCATTCAGGTTCATGTAAGTCCCATTTAAAGTAGATTAATTTTTAGCTAATCAAAGACTGTATCCCTTTGTTGGGTTGTTTGTAAAAAGTAAAACGGGTACTGGGCACACAGGACACGCATGAAAACACACCATCAAAGTAAGTGGATAATGTTGGGTTAATCTATCTAAAAAAAAAACTATGAGCATACATATTGTAAGTTTGTAAATATGTAAATGGTGTTATTTATATACAGTTCAGGTTATTGCACATAGAATTTGGTATTGCACAGTGGTGGTTTATAGAGGGAAATGGGGAAAGTTGGGGGGCGGGGGTGGGACTGTGTTATCGGTGCGTGTAGAAGTTGAAGAAAACTGTTTGGTTTTTTGTTTTTTTTTGGGGGGGGGGGGGGGGGGGGGGTTTGAGTCTGTGGGCCTTTGTGCTGATGCATCTTTAGCATTTTCCCCAAGGGAAGCAGGCTTCATACAGCTTGCTCGTATTAGCTGATAAGCCTGCACTTCATGTTCAACTCCAAAAAAGCCAAGATGGAAATATGTGAAAAGCTAAACAGCAATGCTTTTAAAATGGTAGTGTACAAATTAATGGATGGCATCACTGTGGTTATGTATGTACATCTTCCATATAGAGCATAGGTGTCAAACTCTGGCCCGCGGGCCAAATTTGGCCCGCAGCCTAATTACATTTGGCCCGCGAAGCCATACCAAATTATTATTATTAGAGCTGGCCTACTGGTATTATACAGCGAATATATATATTGTTTAGTATTAAGCTTTGCTTGTTCCATATTCAGTTTTTCAGCAAAACGTGTTTGAGTCCATAAGAAAAGATTCATTCTTATATCTGGAGGAATAAATATATTTCAATAAATATTAACGTTAGCCTGCGACTTTGTTCCAGTTTTGAATTTTGGCCCACTGTGTATTTGAGTTTGACACCCCTGATATAGAGTATGAAGGTCCTGTTTTGTTTTTTCCCAGGAAATTATGCACTTTCAAGATGAGACCCTTTATCTGGCTATACACCTCCTCAACCGCTCACTGCGACTAATCAAGGTGACCACAGCCAATCTGCAGCTCCTTGGCATGGTTTGTCTCTTCATTGCTGCCAAGAAAGAAGAGTGTCTTCTCCCTGAGGTATGCTGCCTCAGCACTCCATGTCTGAACAGATACAGCATCCTTGGATCTCTAAATAAGCCGTGAGCATGTTCAATACAGTGTAATTTGGCATGCCTTCATAAATATATTTTATGTCCTCTTGTTTTTTTGTGATTAATTGGTCAGCCTATTCATCTGGCCTGAAGCTCACATGGAATTTTTTTTTTTTTTTTTTTTTTTTTTTTTTTTTTTGTTAAGAGAAAGGTGAAAACAAACTACCTAAAGATGATACCCTACCCAAAAACATAGATGGCCTGAAAGCAGCTATCAAAGCAGCTTGGCTTCAGTAACATTTCAGGAGTGTCACAAGCTGATCACCCACATGCCATCCAGCACTGATGCATTAGTTTGTGCTAAATAATCCTTATCGAAGTGCTGAGTGTATAAACATACTCTTCAGAAGCTCAACTTTTTAATTCTTTTTTTGGTATTCATCTTAAGAAATATTATTTTGAGATACTGGAATTCTGAATTTCTGGAATTTCACGAGCTATATGCTATAAAAATGAAGTATATGAAATATTTCACATTTTGTAATGAATATATGAAAGTTTTACCTTTTCAGTTAATACAAAAAAACCCATTCACCTTATGATCTTTTGAGATTCACTACTATTTTTAATCTTGCAAGTTAAGACGACAAACTTCTTTTCTAAAGCTGTTCTATCTTGTGGTGATTGCTCCAGGTGTCTGGACTCTGCTCCCTGATGGATCACACCTATACTAAGCATCAGTTTCTGCGAATGGAACGCAAAGTCCTCTCCGGCCTCAAGTTTGAGCTATCCTATTCTCAACCTCTTCATTTCCTGCTTATTTTTGCCTCCGTTGCTCACTGCAGTGCCATGGTAGATGGACAACATTTTTGTCAAGATGTTTTGTACATATTGATCAGAAAGATCCAGTGTCACCCCATCCTGTTATTTGTGGCACTAGGTGGTGTGGATGGCTCGTTATCTGCTGGAGCTGTCGCTCCTGGAGGGCCAGTGTGTGGTGTTTCTGCCCGCTCAGCTCGCTGGAGCCGCACTCTGTTTGGCCCGCCAAGTTGTGCAGGAGCCTACAACACCAGAGGGAGAGGCTGCCTGGTGTTTAGTCTCCAGCATTCATGTTGGCAGGTCAGCAACACATTTATTCATCACAAATTAATTAGTTACCACATTTACATCTATACAAAGCTTTGTTACTTTCGTAGTGGTTAGTTTAATGTCTGTGCTGCTTTTTTTTTTTTTTTTTTTTTTTTTTTTTTTTTTTTTCTTTCTTTCTTTCTTTTCAGTGAAGCTACTCTTATGAAGATCATGCATATTCTAGCCAGTGCTGCTGCCAAGGCTCAGACCTGTGCTACTTTTCTTAAATTTTCATCTCCAGAAACCATGCATGTCAGTAGACACCCAGGACTGAAAAATGCCTCCAGTCTACTGGGTGTATGCAGTTGACATACCTGATTTGAAACAACTTGATTACATTGTTGAGCTTCAAAGGTGCTAAACTTGTACAAACTAGTTTAAACTAGTTATACTACACTAGTATAACTCAAGAATGTCATTCCTTTGACAAAAAACTTCCAACCAAAGCAGTATCATCTTGACTATGGATCATGAAGTGTTGACATGTAATTGGGTAAAGAAACAAGTAAGATTTGTTGCCAGACATATGTACTGACCAACTTTGCAGCACACCTGTTTTATGAACTTATCTTGTAGCTGATTTAAGAAATATATATTTAAACTGTATTGATGTGTCCTTGTCTTGCCATTTTGTGGAGAGGATGTCTGAATGCCAAGTTATTTGAGAAAGTTTTAATGTAAAAAAATAAAGTGTCTGTTGCTGAGTATTGACATCCGGCTTATTCATTTTTGTATAAATGTGGAATACATTTAAGTCCAGTGGCACCTGGAAAGTGTTTCTTTTCAATGGCACAGGAATGTTTAATAAAAAAAGTATAAAAGTCTGAAGCCACCTCTAATTTCTTTATATTTTGCTAGGAAAAAGTGGAAATGGGTGCAGAGACGTATTGTGCCAATGTACAGGAAACTGGAACTTGTCTGTCAATATTTGCTTTGACCACATTTATTCTTAAACACAACTTGAACACTCTTAATTTCTTTGAGTCTTCAGGAATGGTTTATTGACGGATATGCAGCGATCTTTGGATATTGCTTGTCTTTTTGTTCTGTTCTGTCAAGATGATCCCCAAACTCTAGGAAGACTAAAAAAAAAACAACGCACACAATGGAACACTATCAATGCTTTCACTGCATTAGCAGAGTGTTTGGGCTCATCTGACCTAGGTACTCTAGGTTCATTATTCCATGAATTAAACACTTACTGTTGAATCATCCTGACTACATCTGTGTGTATATATAAGAGAACTCTTTATTGTCATTGCACAGTCATATATATATATATAGTACAGTAGTACAATGAAATTGGAAAACTGTCCTTTCGCAAATGTGTCTTTTGACCCTCTTGGGTTCCTGCACAAGCGCTGCCTTCCTGCGCACGTGTTTCCTATGATTGGCTCTTGGAGTTCTGTCACGGACCAATGGGAGCTTAGCTGGCGGAGAGAGCTCGTTTCGTGTGTGTGTGGTAGGTGGTACAACAGGCAGCTGTGGGTTCAGTTAAGGTAAAACAGGACGAACACACGTTTAATTGTGTCGCCGCTGGGCTGTCCTCCCACAGTGTTGTTCATACTTACAGGATCGAGTGACAGCGTGCGGACACTGGTTATGTTTTGTTTTCACTTTTTCGGATCGTTTCTGGGATCGGCGACGTCAAGCTAGGAAAAATTTAGCCACTGTAATTTCAAAACAAAATCGTCGCAGTTTGTCCGGTTGGATAAAAGTACAGGTAAGTAGTGACGGAAGAACCTAAACTCAACAAACAACTATATATTGCACTGAGTAGTGTATAAAATATATGATACTATTCACAGAACCGCGTCTTTTTACTTTTTTTTTTTTTTTTTTTTTAAAGCTGTGAGTTTTATTTTGAAATTTATCGCATATGGCGTTCAACTTAAACAGTTTGATGGACGTTGCCTAATTTCAAACAGTTTTAACCCTAGTTTTTTTTAAAACAGCAAATTTGACAAAGCACATATAAAATATACATACTGGATATACAACAGCTATAACATTTGAGCGTTTATGGACAGCATTTTTTTTTTAAAAAGCAGAGAATCTAGAAAACAAGCCTTAGAATGGTATAATTGGCTGTTTTACGTAGAGGTTTTACGTTTAGCTTATGTCAACAGATAATCTACACACAGCGTTTATATTGCCACCACCGTGGATACTAAATGTATTTTTTATGTTTTTGTTTGTGTGAGAGGAAGTGTATGTAAGAAGAGGGCCGGACTTAAAGTTGGGTATTACATAACACGGGGGGTGGGGGAAGAGTGGTGTTGTTCAGCTGACAGCGGGCTGTGGTGCCTTCATGGAACCAGCCCGATAATATCATAAATGCTGTGATGATGTCATCAGTCAAGCCCACCCGATTGGTAGGATAATATCTTTAAATTCTTAAAGAGCAGCCATTAAAGTTAAAAGTCCTTCAACTGCACAGCCATGCATGCTGCTGTAGTTAAATCGTTATCATCTCAACTCATCTTTGAGACAGAGAAATCACAGTAGAGAGCACAGAGGGATAATATCAGATTGTAGCTACAGTTTGTGGGCAACATGAGGAGTTCTGTGTATTACAGCCTAATTGTAAGTCATTTTAGTATCTTCATTAAAGCCGAGTTTTATCATGTCAGTTTATTTATATCGGTGCCTGCGTTGTACAGTATGAATTGATATGATTACTTGTTTCGTCCTTTACGTTTTGTTTTACAGAACATAATGCAGGGTGACATGCTTGGGGCAATTTAGAAATGGTGCTGGCAGATAGTTTTTCCCAGCTGAGTGACTGTCTTCAGCACATGAAGCAGAGTGCACATCACAGCTGAGCAGACAGTGGTGTGGGGTCAAGCAGGTAAGCTGCAAACGTGTGTGAAATGTGTTGTTGGAAAGTTAGAAAACCAGAAACCCATTTTTCTTTAACTTCCTAATATAATTATATGTATTTGTATGCTGATACATGGTACAGTTGAGTCCTAATTGAATAACAAGATCAGATGATGCTGGTATGTAATTCTGTTGTCTTTCCTATAATCTTGAACTATTGTTTACACATATACTGCCCTGTCAGTAAGTGTCTTGCAAACAAACTTATTTTTATTTATTTAGCAAAGATCCATCAACTAACATTTATGTCTGTTTGATGGTATTTCTCACAGGCCTTTGGCAGAAATCTTGGTTGTTTGCACCATGGAGTACTGTGGTGCAAACAACAGTACTTTTTTTGTAGACTAACTCCAAAGGCATTGGGCTTTATACAATTAGGTCAGCAATTTACTGGGTAAAGAATTTTTTGTAATTTTCCCTCTGTAGAAGTTTGTTATAAATCAAACTGTCAATATGTGGTTGGAGTAAGCTGAAGGCATGCAAAAATTAAATGCAATTTGCATTTACTATTTAGGAATTACAACTATTACAAGAGACTTACAAATAATTTAACAAACAATTTTAAATATAAGAATTGTTATTTGTGTTATTTATTTACCAAAGTCCTTCACACTAAATGACTACCTGAAGTCTAGAACCCGTGGACATCACCAAATGCTGTTTTTCCTTCATTGAGATGCTCTTCCAGGCCTTTACTGCGGCCATTTTCAGCCACTGCTTGTTTGGGGGCCTTTCTGTATTTAGTTTTGCATTAAATGATCGAACATTGCGTTAAATGATCGAACATTGCTTTGTTGAGCTGAGCTCAAGCGACAGACTTGGCTATTGAAGAAAATATTTCTTTGCCATTAGAAACTGTTGAGTTGCTTTTGCAGTAGGCTTTGGGTACGTATCCATTTGCATTGTGAGGTGCAGAATCTGGACAGACGTTTCCTCTTGCCTCTTCTATCAGCAAACATCTCATCAAGAAATCCCAGTGACCTAGTTCCACTGGAATAATACTCCCTCCACCATATTTGACAGATGATGTAGTATGCTTTGGTTCATGGACTGTTTTTGTCTTTGAGAATACTTTTCTCAACGTTGTGGTGCAGACTAACTTTGGTATATTCTTGTAAAGTCTTATCTGGTTTTCCTGTTCTTGAGTGTAATCAGCTCTGTATTTCCATTCTTAAATGTGTCTTTTGATTGTTACCTTGACAATGATTGCCTCACCTATTTCCTCTGTTCTTCACCTGGTTAGCTGTTGTCAAGTTCCTATCAACCAAGGAAATAATGTCATCATGGTCTTTAGTCATCTTCTTTTAGCCTTAGTCGTCTTCAATTCAATTCAATTCAATTTTATTTATATAGCGCCAAATCACAACAAAAGTCGCCTCAAGGCGCTTCATAGATACAGAGAAAAACCCAAAAATCATATGACCCCCTATGAGCAAGCACTTTGGTGACAGTGGGAAGGAAAAACTCCCTTTTAACAGGAAGAAACCTCCGGCAGAACCAGGCTCAGGGAGGGGCGGCCATCTGCTGCGACCGGTTGGGGTGAGAGAAGGAAGACAGGATAAAAGACATGCTGTGGAAGAGAGACAGAGGTTAATAACACATATGATTCAATGCAGAGAGGTCTGTTAACACATAGTGAGTGAGAAAGGTGACTGGAAAGGAAAAACTCAATGCATCATGGGAATCCCCGGCAGCATAACTAAGGGAGGATTCAGGGTCACCTGGTCCAGCCCTAACTATATGCTTTAGCAAAAAGGAAAGTTTTAAGCCTACTCTTGAAAGTAGAGATAGTGTCTGTCTCCTGAATCCAAACTGGAAGCTGGTTCCACAGAAGAGGGGCCTGAAAACTGAAGGCTCTCCCTCCCATTCTACTTTTAAATACTCTAGGAACAACAAGTAGGCCTGCAGAGCGAGAGCGAAGTGCTCTAATAGGGTGATATGGTACTACAAGGTCATTAAGATAAGATGGGGCCTGATTATTTAAGACCTTGTATGTGAGGAGCAGGGTTTTGAATTCAATTCTGGATTTAACAGGAAGCCAATGAAGGGAAGCCAAAACAGGAGAAATATGCTCTCTCTTTCTAGTCCCTGTCAGGACTCTTGCTGCAGCATTTTGGATTAGCTGAAGGCTTTTCAGCGAGTTTTTTGGACATCCTGATAATAATGAATTACAGTAGTCCAGCCTGGAAGTTATAAATGCATGAACTAGTTTTTCAGCGTCACTCTGAGACAGGATATTTCTAACTTTAGAAACTTAGTTACAGCGCTTTCAGAAAGACATCTGCTTTGATAAAGTCTACTCTCCACTGCTGTGTAATCAATTATTGTAAATGTAAATGTTATCAGGAAATGATCAGACAGGAGAGGGTTTTCAGGAAACACTGACCCGTGCAAGAATCTACCAAATTGTTGGTAAACATTGTATGCTATCCTTCTAATAGTTTTTTGTTTTTTTTTAATTTGATTTCATTTTTTCCAGCCTCACTTGCAACACTCTCTCTTTGGACCTTCATTCCAGTGAAAGGACACCCTGTGAAAAACAGCTCTTGCAATTAACCATGGATCTGTTTATCTGTTTAATTTCTCAAGGAAATAAAACACAGGGCTGGGACGCACCTGGCATCAGGGATTTGTCCAATTGCTTCTGAGCCTCTGAATCTGAATTTGTGCAACATTTTTGTTAAAGTTGAGAGTATGTGCTTCAATCACACTTTGATTGTTTAAAATCCAGTTTTGTGATTTTTTTTTTTAAATTGATTAATTAATTAATTAAAAAAACATATGGGCATGTACATGGCTTAATAGAGTCCTAAATGTATGTCAAGATCTGGTTTATGGTTAGGACTTAAAAAGTATCTGTCTAACTGTGTCTTAGTGAGTGATGTTAGGACCATCTGTTCAACACTGTGGTTAATGTTGCTGTCTAAGGAATTTTAACCACACATCAACTGAAACAGAGTATTCCATTTTACAAATTAAACTGAAACAGTTACCCTCCTATAGTATGAAGTATGAGGATATTGCTGTTTATTTGTGGATTATATATATGGTAAACCTGTTTAGGGTTACTATTTCCTACATCTTAGCACAGAGGAGCTATTTAAATTTCTCTGATTTTCTTGATAGGGTCCAGTATGCCAAAGGAACAGCCTCCATTGGATCAGCACAGCCTTTGTGCTGCACCCAGCAAGAAAGTTAAAGATAAGAGCAACAATACAGCTCTACTGGCTATACGTGACATTAAAGACAAAGATGACTCAAGCAGGAGGGGCTCCCACTGCAGCTCCGAGAAGGACTCTGGCTTCTCTGGTGAGTCCAAGTCGATATAACGAACGTTTCATATTTAATTTCATAGCTATTCACCATGCTTTTTAGATTTATATACAAGCCAGTGCAAGCATTGATACCTTCACTTCAACTTTGCTGGAATAATATCTAAAGCATCTCCTTGAATTCAAAGTGAAAAGGTTATTACAAATATATAGTTTTAGCTTTTGGGGTTAGATTTTCATCTATGTGACATTCCTAAGGGACACGGTGAAAGTTGATTAGAAGAAAATCATAATGCAATGAGTATTGTTGGACGTTCTTGTGTGGCTTGAGTCATTTAAGAGCATCTAATGCACTTTTTTAAAATTTCAAATACAAATAAGAAAATAAATAAAACAGAAATACAAACACTGTGCTACTGATACCACAAAAGAAGTGTTGACTGTAGGAAAGCATGCATGTCGCTCCTGTCTTCCCTTTTGTGAGAATAAAGCAAATGTTTGCCTAGTTTGATTTGGTACTGCCTGATAAGGTAGTGAGGGGAAGAAAAAACATCTTTCTGCTGCATTGTGTCACAAAAAGTTCAACTATCCTCTTGAATGTGGCATTCAGCTGTTAGCATTTCTTCCTGTAATAACTTTTCTGCAGATGGTTCAGACTGGCAACTGGAGGACCAGAAGAGAAACAAAAGCCAGTTCAGAGCCAGTGAACATGCAGAAACGTCACAAAACCAAGAACGTATGCAAAGGAATCTTGGAAAGCATTCTGTGATGCCTGATGGTCATGACCAGCCACCTGTTTACATGATGAAGAACACGATGCTTAACCAGGTAAAGAAGGATACAACCAACACAGGATAGTCTTTCAGAAAGAAAAATAATGTTCACATCAGATGTACGGTGGAGCTCCTCACCAGTGTGTCATATTGACTTTTCTCTTCCTGTTTTGTTCCAGCAGTCAGATGTGACCCAGAAAAGAGGCCAGCTTCTCTGGGGAAACAGCGTCACTGACATCAACCATTCGGGTTCTCGTCAAATAATCCTTCTCCAGCAGCCAGGATTGTTGCCTGCTACCTTCCAGCTATCAAAGCCCTTGTCCCGAAAGTTTAATGTCTCAGAAAGGAAAATACCTGGTTCCTACTTACCCATACTGAACTCCTACCCACGCATAGCGCCACATCCCAGCAAGAAACCACCGGATAAATATTCAATCCATGAATGCCAGAGTCTCAGCAAGAGGGTGTGCTCAGAACAAAAGGGTGATGGCCCGTCTGTGACCCGAAATCTGCCAGAGCAGCACCTTCATAAACAACCTAAGTTGGCACTCTCAGCGACTGGCATGCCGTGTTCTTCTCCACCCCAAGATCAACTGTCTGCCTCAAGTCCCACCCCTACTTCCATGAGCCAGAGATCCCCATCTGTATCCAGTCAGGACACCAGCTACTCGTTATTCACAACCAGTTCGGCTGGACTTAAAAGAGATGCCACCACCAGTATTCGCCACCGACGTTTTCTCAACACAGTAAAAATCCTCCGACAGTCTGGTCTGCTGGACATTACATTGCGCACAAAGGAGTTGATGCGTCAGAGCAACGCCACAGAGAGGGACCTCTCCCAGCTGCGGCAGCACACAGAGCTGCTGTGCCAGGCTGCCAGAAACCCCAGCCTCAATCTAAATGGTATCACTGTTTGGGAGCACCTCCATCAAGCTATGGCTGAGTCAGGAAATTATCCCAACCTTAAAATCCTGCAGAATATCCAAATCTCAACTGTGCCAGGTTCTGCCGGTCCATCAGAAAGGATTTCCAAAGGAGACACCAACAGGCCACAAGCTGCTGAGACCACACAAGCCCTGCCAATGTGCCTTCTCAGCACCATGCCAGAGCAACACTGTGGTGTACAACAACAGTCAAAACAAGACAGGAAGCTCAAGGCCAATGAGACATCCTTAGACAAAGCCAGCTTTACACCTCCTGACAGTTCTACTGGTTAGCCCAGTTGGCAGTGCCTTTTTGAAGGGTGAGTTTTAGTTGTGGACATTTAGTTTTATGAATATTTTAAACCCAGCGTTACAGGAGTCATGCAGAAAATCTCTGTAGGTCCATGGAAATCAAACACAGACGTAGCTTTAGTCCTTACTGTGCGTGTCACAGTTTTCGGACTTAACTAATGGCTTAATGCACTTGAGTGCAATCAAAGACCAGATTCACCATCTGATGACAGATGATGGTACAATGTGTGCTTGAGATGCACTTAAAGAAGAGGAAAAAAACGTGTTTCCCTGGGAGAAGGGAAGGGGAGTGGCACTTCATGCAGTGGTGACATCTGCAGTATATATTATCAAGTTTGGTTGTTTTGCTGTTGTTTCAAACCAACCACATTCAGGGAAAGATGAATAGAAACCGTTCTTTTATACCTGTATCACCAACATCGGTGTGATTATTCTGTGCCTTTGATAGCACAGCTGAAGCTAAAGACTCAAAATATAAACTGTTCAACACTACACTGGACATGTGGATTTCTGTCCAGTCTCTTTTCCACAAAGCCTTAAAGCTTTTTTTCTTTTTTTTAAACAGGGGCACATTTACATCACAGGCTATCATGCTGTTGTTGTTGGTAATAACAACTTTCTTTCTTTTACAAACACAGCACACATCTCATGATAATGGAAGCAATTCTGCAACAAGCTCTATGTATCCAGTCATACCACATCCTCTCATGTAGCCGCTTTATTTTTTACTTTTTTTTCTTTTTTTTTGATCAAGCCACTAATTGTTGCTTTTGTATGGTCATTTGTTTTTGCTCGTAGAAAACCACACTTTGGTTTATAAATGTAAAAATTTGAGTATAAACGCTGTTGTTTTTGTTTTGTTTTTTTAATGCATAGGGTATGTGCAAGATTATTCTCTCTTTCTGCATATGAACACATTTGTGAAACTTAAGGTGGTTTTTAATGCTAAGTTTTCATAATTAAGCTATTTAAATAAAACAATATGGGAAAATGGTCTTTATTTCAATGTGGAGCTTTTCAAGGTGAGTCTCATATTATTGTTGTGTTTTTGTGCCACATGTTTACTTAACCTTGAGTTATTCTAGCTGCTGCTATGGAAACTGACAGGGTGCTTCATGTGGTAGAAGTGCAGCACTGTCTCTGGTTCCTGAAAGCCATGGAAATAGTTTCCTTTCCATTTGCTGGATTGTGTGGATTGTAACTCTTGTCTACACTGTGTTCTTTTCCTAATGAAATAACATGCTGACATATGTCTGTGAAGGTTCTCAGTCATCCAGGTCATCGTAGTCAAAGGAGCTTGGAAAGAAAAGCGTCTGGACTTCTTTAAGTTACTTGAAGACGTTTCACCTCTCATCCGAGAAGCTTCTTCAGTTCTAAGGTCAAATGGTGGGGAGTCCCAGATATAAACCTAGTGGGAGTAACCCCCCCAAAGAGGGACAAGAGGACCCCCTGATGATCCTATAATCGCCTGAGCCAAGGTGTGAAACTGGGTGTGGGTCCCAATCAGCCAGAGTTTCTGACATATGAAAAGTACACTACAGTGGGGCAAAAAAGTATTTAGTCAGCCACCGATTGTGCAAGTTCCCCCACCTAAAATGGTGACAGAGTTCAGTTATTTGCACCAGAGGTACACTTCAACTGTGAGAGACAGAATGTGAAAAAATAAATAAAATCCATGAATCCACATGGTAGGATTTGTAAAGAATTTATTCGTAAATCAGGGTGGAAAATAAGTATTTGGTCAATAACAAAAATACAACTCAATACTTTGTAACGTAACCTTTGTTGGCAATAACAGAGGTCAAACGTTTACTATAGGTCTTTACCAGGTTTGCACACACAGTAGCTGGTATTTTGGCCCATTCCTCCATGCAGATCTTCTCGAGAGCAGTGATGTTTTGGGGCTGTCGCCGAGCAACACGGACTTTCAACTCCCGCCACAGATTTTCTATGGGGTTGAGGTCTGGAGACTGGCTAGGCCACTCCAGGACTTTCAAATGCTTCTTACGGAGCCACTCCTTTGTTGCCCGGGCGGTGTGTTTTAGATCATTGTCATGTTGGAAGACCCAGCCTCGTTTCATCTTCAAAGTTCTGACTGATGGAAGGAGGTTTTGGCTCAAAATCTCACGATACATGGCCCCATTCATTCTGTCCTTAACACGGATCAGTCGTCCTGTCCCCTTGGCAGAAAAACAGCCCCATAGCATGATGTTTCCACCCCCATGCTTCACAGTAGGTATGGTGTTCTTGGGATGCAACTCAGTATTCTTCTTCCTCCAAACACTACGAGTTGAGTTTATACCAAAAAGTTCTACTTTGGTTTCATCTGACCACATGACATTCTCCCAATCCTCTGCTGTATCATCCATGTGCTCTCTGGCAAACTTCAGACGGGCCTGGACATGCACTGGCTTCAGCAACGGAACACGTCTGGCACTGCGGGATTTGATTCCCTGCCGTTGTAGTGTGTTACTGATGGCGACCTTTGTTACTTTGGTCCCAGCTCTCTGCAGGTCATTCACCAGGTCCCCCCGTGTGGTTCTGGGATCTTTGCTCACCGTTCTCATGATCATTTTGACCCCACGGGATGAGATCTTGTGTGGAGCCCCAGATCGAGGGAGATTATCAGTGGTCTTGTATGTCTTCCATTTTCTGATGATTGCTCACACACTGTTTTCTGATTGCTTAAGCACATTTTTGTAACTATTGGCTAATTTTGCAAAACTCTTCACACAAATAAGAAAACCTGTCACCCAATCATCAAAACATTGTAGTTCTCTTGCAAAAGCAAACACAGCTGGATTAACTCTTCACACCTTCGTAAAAATGGTGTTTCCGTATCAAACAGTACACACAAGCCATCATCTACTAAGCACACAATGCGCCAACTGCACACTGATGGTATGAATACAAAACACATCTGGCTTTTGCTTTCTCTGTGCACAAGGTAGGCTATGTCAGTTTGAGCTCATACTTCTGTCATAGATCCATAAGCATAGAGGGATCCAAACTTCAAGTACTGGTGTTTATTCAAACACATCAAAACAAACACAAGTGTTTATTTCCAAGTATAGGATTATTTGCAATCGCCATAATGACTATATGGGTTACTTGGTCTGCAGTGAACATGCTTCCTCTGCCCCAGCATCTGGTCATCTAGCAATTCTGTAAAGTAACAATTTCAGTATTTTTACATCAATGGTATTGGTGTGTTTCTCATTGGCATATGGCAGTGCTACAAATCTTTGTGCGAAGTGACTGTACTAACCGATTCTCATTTCAAGATGTCCTTATGATGCTTGCTACAGTGTAGCAGCTCGAGTTAGGCTGGACCCGTTGGCCAGCTACCCTCAGGGTCATTCCACGGTTGATTACATGGTCCACTATTGTAGCTCTGATGTCATCAGCAATTCTATTTCTTACTCTTCCTACCCTTCCTCTCCCCCTCCTCATCTTCCTCTCCCCCTCCTCGTCTTCCTCTTGCTCCTCCTTGTCCTTGTCGTCCTCTTCATCCTACTTCTTCACCTCCACGTCCTCTTCCTCGGCCTCCTCTACTTCTCACTCTTTCTGCTCCCTCCATTGTACTCCGCACACACAGCTTACCTGTATTATAGTGCTTAGGCTGATTGCAAAGTGAACTAATTATCTAAAAAAGTTTTCACATGTGAAAGTGTGCCAGACAGTTGGCAAATTAGTGTTAATGATAGCCGTACATGTGTATACTTTTGCTAGGAGTGTGTTGGAAATTTGGTAATTGAGTGTTGTGCAGTGAATTGTGCCTACAGTTTTGCAAAGTGTGTGTTACAAAATTGCAAACTGAGTGCAAAGCAGTTTTTGTGCTTTTAGTTTTGCAAACTCAGTGAGTGGTTTTGCTATAAGTCTGAATAGTTTTAGAGATTGTGCTACAGGAATCACAGTTAGGGTTTAAGCATTCAGGAAAAACTTTAACAAATATTACTTTGCTACTCATGTTTGACTGTCCACAAGATGGTGCAAGAGGCTGAGATTTGATTTGTATGGAATTTTGTTTTCACCATTGAGGGGGAAGAAAACAAGAACACCATTAACCAGTTCCTAAAATCATCTTTAAAAAAAGAAAAAAGTAAACATGTCATGTTCATTGTTTCTGCTCTTACTGTCCTTCTTCAATGACAGTGAAACAAAATATATTTATTTAAACATGAAAGGGACACAGATTTATATGTGATGTGTGTTTTGGCTAAACAAGAGTTACGTTTTTCCAAGTGTTGATGAGCTCTGATGAGAGCCCATTGTTTTATTCCACTCCTCTTGTTTAAGCTCTAGGCAGTTCTTCTCCCTCAGTGCCTGCTCCCATATTTTCAGTCTCTTGCTTTCTACATCCGAGCACAGCAGACGGCCTAAAACTTTTTTTATTGGTAAGCTGGAGAAAATAACCTCTAACGAGTGAAATACCATTTAAATTGATATTGTTCACCAAGTATGGTTTGCATTGGTTGTTGTAGAGTACGGAGTGAAAACGGGGAGTTTACTGAGCCATGGCGTCACGTAAACACTGAGCATCCCTCTCAACAGCGGTAAGCTAAATGTGGCTAATTAGACACATGAGTGGTTAAATTGAATTGATATACCTTTATTAGTCCCACAAGGGGAAATTTCATAAGGCTGTCGACCTATTGCATGCAATGGCGGCGCCATCTTACCCTCCGACCATACATACATTTCACAAACCATCACATGGGGATGACAGGTCAGAGAGGTATAACAATGGAAAATGCATCACATGAGGAAAGATAAGGAGAAAGAAAAATAACTCCCCCCAGACTGAGCTCCAACAGGGAGATCAGTTTGAGAACAGAAAAAAAAAACAAAAAAACCCCACCTCTGCACATAGCACATGAAAAAACTCTTAATACACCAAAGAAACACATGACAAGCAACAGGGGTGGGTAAAGGGTGCAGCATCAGAAGGGAATAAGTGTAGAAAGGGGTTTGGAAAGGGAGGGGGGGATGAGTGTGTGCGTGTCCAGAGTTCAGCTGAGACAGTGTCCTTCGCCCTGCTAGGCTAAGTAAACAGTCTTCCAGCCAACCCAGGTGGCCTTGCATGGAATGGGAAGGAACAGACTAAACACAGTTGTTATCAGGGTGTTGTTGTTCAGCTCCAGCCTTGAGACCGCAGCTAGTGCCAAAGGGGCTATCCGCATGAAGTGATGGTGCTTTTTACTTTAGTGCCAACAGCTCATATGAATTTCAAAGCAGTGGCTTTTTTCAGTGTTTTATGTGTTCGTGAGTAAATCGGTTTGGCTGTGATTAAAGTTCAAGTTTTCACACAGCTGAATAAACGTCAAACAGAAAACTGATTAAATAGAAGTGTGAGATGGTCGAGAATTTACTCCAATGTCCTGTTATATATTAGCGAGCGAAGACCAGACGAGTTTGCTAAACTCCATCGAGACAGTTGGTGATGCAAATCTGAAGGCTAGACCGTCCCATTTCACAGCCTCGCACTTCCGGCCTTCTCAGTCTTCAAAGGACCCAGCCCACATAGGCCAAAAAGCCTGGGTCCTCGGAAGAATGCGGCCTATGAATTAGGACATAGCTTCTGAAATGCACTATAGTTATGCAAATTAGATTGCTAACCAAGTCATTACCCTGTGAAAAGCTGTAGATGGTTAGAGCAGCTGAAAATAGTTTTATGGGAAATAATTGTAAGGAGACTTTATGCTGCTTCCTTATGTGATGTCGCGATGAGGAATAACCGGGGATGGTAACTAAGATACTGACAACGCCACCTGGGGGAGGGCGTTACACCCCAGGAAAGATTTCTCTAGCCAATGTACGTATTGCACTGGCTACCAAAGCCCACAGACTCGTTATTAACGGCAGAGGTGAGACAAAGGAAGTTTACAAATCAAAATTTATTAAGAGGAACTACTAAAAACATAACTATAAAATCAGGAAGGCACCTAGGGTAGCAGGGTTGAGACGGCAAAATAGTTCATTAAAACACTTTATTAACAAACGATGATTAAAATGACCAGACTCCCTACCACGATGCTACCCTAAAACAATCACAGCATGATAAAAGAATAACTAAACAAAATAGTGGAGACCGGCCACTGAATGAAGCTGGGACTTGCATATATACATACACAAAAATCTATTTTATTTTATGTGCTGGAATGTGCAGAAAATAGGTTTAAATGTTAAACAAATTTCTTCCAGTCAGAGAATGTTGCATATAATTAAATTTTTTAAAAGATTAAAACTAATAAAACAAGTTTTAAAAAGAGACTTTTTCCATTTGATTACATTTTGTATGATGCATTATGCAGAAAAAGCAGAATTGAGCTGAAAGATCTTTTGATTTATCACCTATGCAGGTTGTAAATCGTGTTTTTAAATAGTAACTAAGTAACTAAGTAATTAATTACTTTTGAAAATAAGTAATCAGTAAAGTAACGGGATTACTTTTCGGGGGAAGTAATCAATAATTAGTTACTGATTACATTTTTCAAGTAACTTGACCAACACTGCTCATTAAGTATGGATTCTTCCTCCATTAGCATGAATAAGGGTCAAAATAATTTGGGTGAATAGTTATACTTACTAATGAATGATCGGATAATGGACAAGTACTTATTGAGCACTCTTCCATCCTATCCAGCACCGTCCTGGATGACAGTAGCAAATCTATTCTTGAGAAACTCTGATGAGGGCAAAAAACAAACAAACAGTGAAATCCCTATCGGTTGGGTGAGCTACTCTCCAGGCATCATAAATTTCTAGATCACAGCAGAACTCTTTCAGTCTAAGGCTTTTTGGTGATAAGTAGGGATGGGTACCGGTATCCGGTTCTGACATAAACGGTAGTAACCAGACCGAAAAGCAGCGCACATTTCGGTGCTTTTTTCCCCTGAGATGTCATACACTTTGGATACTAGCCAATCATTTTACCTTTGCGAGCGTAGTAGGCGGGCCCAGGTACGTACGTTCTTTTAGAGCAGAGCTACAGATTAAAAATGCCCAAAGCAAAGCGGTCAAAGTCTGGCTGTAAGTCACAGCAAAAGATGCAAACTCAGCAGCCTGCAACAAGTGCTTTAAGCTGATACTGTGCAAAGGAGGTAACACCTCGAATCTGATGAAACACATGGTGGCATGTAGCGTTTTGTTAAAAGCCGAGAAATGCGCCGTATTTGATAGCTTGCTGCGAGACCTCACACCGTGCACATCTACTGCAGGTGGGTTGCCTGTTATCGGACCCGGAGTTAGCAACATCCCCCAAAAACCCGAAGAGAAGCGTCCTGGCCCCTAGCCCTGCCAGTGTAGCAGAAATGATGACGGAGGATGATGCAGCAGCAGCCGTTCTTCTCTGCGTGAGTAGCTTAATGTTGTTGGTGTGTAATTTACGTTGAGTAGGCTAACCATGTTATTAAATTAATGCAAGTAAGGTGAACTAGCAAACACCGTCGTAGTTACATGCGGCTGCCTTCTTGTTTGATGGCAGATACTCCCTTCACCCTGGCCAAAAAGGCTAAAATGACCAAAGAAAAAGTGGAAAACAGCTAAACATGAGAGGTTTTTGGACAAAGTTGGTGTTTTTTTTCCATTGATTAAGCTTCCAGCCAAGAGTGATGCCATGCCCTATAGCTGCAGAAAAGGCTAACATTGTTATCTTTTTACAAAAAACAGCTGAACATGAGAGGTTTTTGGACAAAGTTTGTGTTCTTGATTCTTTAAGCACCGGTTTGAGCACCGTTTAAGCACCGGCACCGTTTCAAAAGTACCGGTTTGGTACTGGTATCGGATAAAACCTAAACGATACCCATCCCTAGTGATAAGTCACCCTCTGTTTTACATTCATCAACCCTTGGATCAGATACACAATTAAAGTCACTTCCCAATACCATATATGGAGAGGCTATGGCTGAAACAAGGGTTAAGAGATTTTTTTTGGGGGGGGGAAGAGATATCTTCTGAATTTGGACCATAAATGCATCCTATAGAAATAGATTCTCCAAATAGATATCCAGAGAAAAGAATGTAGCATCCTTCATTTTCTTTTACAACTTTTTCTATAGTTAAAGGCAGATTACGATGGATGGGGATGGCCATCCTCTACTTTTTGTATTATAAGATGAGTAAAGAACTTAGCCAACCCAACTTCTCTTTAATTTTGAGTGTTCCAAATCATTTAGATTGGTTTCTGATAGTAAAGCAATTTAGGTTTTTTCCTCTTTCCGGATTGAAAGAGGGTTTTTAGTTTGTTTGTTTTTTTTTTGCCTTTTTACAACATTATTCAGTCCTTTAACCAGGGGTGATTTAGCCCATTTCGGAATCAAATGAATGAATCAAAGCACCCCTCAAAGATCTCTTACTTTTTTTTGAGAATATTTGTTGTTTGTGTGACACACTACTAAAAATATAAAAAGCATTCAGTACTTGTTTGGGACTTAACATTTTAACAACAAAAGTATAGATCCCCCTTCCCCCAAAATGGTTTGTTCCAGTTCGCCTCTCCCCTGCTCTGGCTCTAGCCCCGTTGCTGCCAGAACAATGGTGGCTGACATGCAGCGGAGAGGATGTGTAAGTGCCTGGCTTAAAACAGGACATATTAGCTGCATTTAACCTTCAGTTACTCTTTATATAGTTAGGTAAGAGTCAGACCATGTTTCTTTTTAACTGAAAAACATTACACCCAGGTAACCGGCTGTGTTGAAAACGTGTTTCTCGACTATGTTTGCTACCCTACAATCCGTCCTGCTCTGTAGTAAAATCAGCGATATTTGACCGTCCTGTTGCTCCCATTGAAATTTATACAGTCTATTTAAAATCTAAAACTTAACATTGTCCGTAGCCTACTGTTGTTACCACTGTCCTGTTTGAAATGTAATGAGAGAAGCTGGTTATTTTGTCATATGTGCATGTGCCGATATTGAACCCAAGGTACTAACTAGCTAACTGACTGGATGCCCATTAACCTTATAACTTCTGTTGTGTGTGTGTGTGTACAGAGAGACACACACACATCTCATAATGGATATGAGGAAGTTTTTTCAAAAACAAGAGCCACATTCAGGTAAAAGTGTAAAATCAAATGATCCGTCAATAACGAATAATGTTGGATCAGTGTTTCAATATTTATATCTTTTATTAGATGTACATGTGGTTTGGTTATTTGCCTTTTGGTTGAAAGTACACTGAAAGAGGACTTTTTTATTAGTGTTCTTAATAGTATTTTTTTAATCTAATTGAATACAATCTATTTGTGTATGATTGTCAGTCCAAAGATGGAGAGAGGAAAGAGACAGGAAATACTAACAGGCAAAAAAGAAACTGGCAAAGAAAAAACAACAACTAATTTTACTCATACAATCTGTAAGTTGTGTCCTCCCTATATTAAAGCTGCTATACAGTGTCAGGGGTTGCTGAGTGGATGTGGAGAAAAGGACTCAAACGCAGGACTCACGGTGAAGATGCAGGGTGTTTATTGTGAGGGACGAATGACGAAAACAGGAGATGGCTGGCTGACTGACTGAATGAACGGCTGACTGATCTGAACTTGGGAGGCAAACATGGGGCATAGACAGCAGTGACAACATTAAGGACGCGACGCTGACCAGGAGAGAACTGAGGACTTAAATACACTGTCTGAACAATGACTGATAGGTGACAGGTGAGTGAGTAGCTGAACACAATTGAACTAATGATGCATGGAATAAGAACTAGAACATAATGCACACAGAGTAACGTAACACAAAACAGGAAGTGGAACGTACAGAGGATAAACAGTGAACATGAACTGAAAATACTGGGTCAATGACCCAGAAACCCTGACATACAGAATCTGCAAAACCAACTGGGTTGTCAGCCCTGGCACTGCATTACCATATTGAACTTCAGTCAGAGGAAGTCACGGTTGCCAAAAACTTTTTGAAGCTCAAGAGTGAGGCTGGTGCCATCCCAGATATGTTAACATTGTACAATCTTCTGGATAATCAGATCTTCCCCAGACTGAAAACTGTTATTCAGGTTGCCCTAACAAACCCAGTTACCAGCTGTAGCTGTGAAAGGTCTTTTAGTGTCTTGAGTCAGCTCCATACCTGGCTGAGAAGGACCATGGGTCAAAGCAGACTCCAGCACCTGGCTGTGATGTCAGTTGAGAAAGAGATGCTTGAGAGACTTGACCACCAAAATGTGATAGACGGATTTGCCAACCTCAAGGTGAGGCGACATAGGTTAAAAGAAAAGAAAAAATCTGCAGAGCTATATTAGTATCTGCAGTAAAGATCTTTTCATACATTGTATACATTGTACCATAGGCCAAGGTGTCCATTTTCTAATTTTTTAAATAATATTTTGTACATTTCAAGGACTCTTCTATTTTTGGAGTGTACTTTTTATATTATACATACACATTAAAAGTGAATCTCTGTCCAAAATATGCACTCAGTTTACTTCTTACTCACTGTGAGCATCATTCACTTCTCCCACAGTAATTAAGGTTGGGATATGTTTTTTATTTTTATTTTATTCCAATCCAGTCTTCTTTAGCAGCATTTAAATAACCTTTATCAGATTTGATGGTTTTGTTACAGACTTTTCAAAAAAGTGTTTTGCTTTTCTTTCACAAATGTGGGGATTAAATTGTGTTAAAATGTACAAAACAGTGATGTAATGTTTTGTGATGAGGACCCAGGCACAGAGAGACTTGATGAATTTAAGAATCTTATGATTTAATAAAGAAATTTGCAGACTTGCACAGAGATGGTAAAATTATGATGAGTGATAATGGAAATGAAGACAACAGACGATGAGGACAGGGAGGAACAGGGGTTTAAATGCACCAAGGAGACAGTCAGAGAGAACTCGTGACAACTGGAGACATTTAAGGATGCAGGGACTGACAGAGACGGGGAAGACGTCTCATTATGACGAGTAAAGGCCTGGATGCCTGGATGGGCAGCTCTCTGGCTGCTCAGCACCCCCAAAGCTCTGATCCTAGAATCGCCCCTGCCTTTAACGTTTAAGGACATTTTTTTGAGGTCAGTCATATCAACACAAAAGCATTTTTTCTTTTTGTAACATGTGGTGTAAAACATCATTTTTGGGAGTGCACTACACAAACACAGCAACCATATCTTTCCATTAAAGAAAATGTGTGTGGATTTAGATACATTGATATATTGTATAAACAAAAAAAAGAAAAAAATGACTATGATGCAGCTCAAATGGGTACAGAATTGGAAAAAAAGATTTTTTTTTTAATGGAAAACAGAGAAAGTGACATCACGTTCAACTCCAAATCGTAGGTGTTACAAAGGGATCAGATGACCTTTTGTATCAGTTGAGTGTGAACTACTGCAGAAGTTCTCTGATGGTCTCTAGCTGAGTTTCCCTCTTTTGGTTCTCTAAATTTTCAAGATTTGGCTGGCAAAGATGATGGAAACGCTACAAAATGGAGAAAAATGGAGAAAAACTTAATTTAAAAGTTTTATAATAATTCTAAAAAGGCTATTATTACCATGATTTCTATTACGTTAAAAATCACCCAGTAAACATGAAAGTCTTACATTTTTGTTTAACTATATATTTAAAATAATAACACAGTCATCCCACCTGACTTAGAGTCCCAGTCTCAGTGCCCAGCTTATACAGGGCCCATCCTGGAACAAGCAGGATGGAGGAGAGGGCCAGTATCCACCCCAGCACATATGCCCAGGATGGATAGATGTACCACCGATTAAAGGTCAGAGGCTGGTACTCAGTGAAAGAATAGCCTGAGAAATCAAAAGGAGATGGTTTAGCTGGTGGCGAATTGAGTGCTGACATCCTAACACTTACAGCTCAACTCACTAGTGAGACCAGTGGTGTGAGGTAGAGCCAGCAGAGTTTAAAGAAGTAGTTGGCTTGTGTTTTCCTGTCATGTCCTTTATTATGTCATACAGCTGATCTACCCCTTAATAGGAAAACAAACAAGATAAACAACGTATAAAGATCACACTTGGTGTCAATGGAATGCCATGGATGTATTTTTTTCACATAAAGGTTAAATGACAGCCAAAGGAGTCATAATCACCCATGTAAAGACTCCATTATAATGTCCTCACAAGTGTCTGCAAGATTTGCCCCTATATATGAGAAAATTTCCCTGATCATGTCATCATTACGACATCATTAGTGTGAGATGTAAAAAGAAGAGGACACCTACCAAATATCCAACCCAGTGCCAGAGTTCAAAACACACATAGGAAGAGGATGCAGGCTCCATTACAAGCATAGTAGTCCAACAACTGGAACACAAACATTCCTCCCTAGACACAATGACACAGATATTTATTTTGCATGCATTTATTTTCCTCACTAAAATCAGGGGCCCGTTCTTCGTACCTCGCTTACTACATCCAAGATCAAATGACACATCCAAGATCAAATCATCTCGCTAACTTTGAGCTCGCTATTCCGGTTCTTCGAACACACCTGTTGTTGACGATTAGTATAGCTGGATGAAGTAATGTGAGATCACTGGGTGGCTTAACAGGGGCTACGCATCGATAGTAGAAACATTGATCGGCAACCCTTTGATTGGTCGGCGAAATGTCGAAGGAGCGCGCTCAGTATTTTTCGGCAGCAGAGCAAGAACTCTTGATTGAGGGATTTCAGGAGTTTCAGAGTTTAATTAAAATGCAAGGGAACACTGCAAAGGCTGCAAAAGCAAGGAGAGAGGGCTGGCAGAAAGTTGCTGACAAATTAAACTCGTAAGTAATTTAATAATAATAATAATAATGGATTGGATTTATATAGCGCTTTTCAAGGCACCCAAAGCGCTTTACAATGCCACTATTCATTCACTCTCACATTCACACACTGGTGGAAGCAGCTACAGGTGTAGCCACAGCTGCCCTGGGGCAGACTGACAGAAGCCAGGCTGCCATATCACGCCATCGGCCCCTCTGGCCAATACCAGTAGGCGGTAGGGTAAATTTATTATATTATATTATATTATATTATATTATATCCTCTTTCACATCAGAGCCACAACAGGACCCACGAGAACATGTGAACAAGTAAAAGTGAAATAAGAATATTCTACAGAATGGTAATATTTATCACTTATATTGCTTTTAGTCTCTTGAAAAGAGACCCTGAAATAATCTGTTTGTTTGTTTATAAAGGCAACCAAGAAAAGGGCAGAGCAAAAAAAGACAGGTGGTGGTCCTGCACCCCCCTCGTCAACAAGTTGGTTAAGTGAATAATACCCTCACGGGAAAATCGATATCTCTCTATGAGCACACTGTCGCGCTGAGCTAAAGGATCCTGTCTGTCCCGCAATATACGCTGAATTCTGAGGACTCTCCTTATCAATCTTGCACCTTCCGCAATGGGTTGCTCGCATATACGGACAGGACATGGCTGCGACAGACTTCCCAAATCCACCTTCGCTTTTATAGCCGTGGTCTCTCATCTTGATTACACGAAGTAATTTACAATTACTACTCTGAAATATGAATTACATCTGTAATAATCACATACATGTAATAGAATGTTAATAGTACATTTCCCTTTTTTAGGAAATGACCTGTATGTATCTGTATGGAATCAATAAAAGGATCAAGTACTGCATTATCTTTAGTTACATTGATAATATTTATTTATGGAAAAACAGTGGTAAAATATCGCTGTTGCTTTCGTATACATGAAGCGGACATACCTGCGTGGCCGCGATCTAATCTTGTTTACATAAAGTAAACCTGCTTCCGAGCAGGTTTACGCTTACGGATCTGTTGCTATGACAGCAAGTCCCGGATGAGCTTCGGAGAACCGAACGATCCAAGATCACGCGAAATCGTCAACAATCAAATCCAGCTAACTTACTTAGCGAGGTACGAAGAACGGACCCCTGGATTACAATTAGGATATGTAATGTTTATTTTTTTCTTTCAGACCCCTACACACATTTCTAAAACATTTTTTGGCAGTGATACATTACATACAGACCTCAGTAACCATGACAAGCTGAGAGAAGAAACATATCAGGCAGTAGAGAAGGAGAAAAATCTCCCTTCGGCCAGCTCTGCGCAACACTTTGGGAAACATATCGACAAAGGACGTCATCACTACTTCCATGGCAACAAACTGTGCAGAAAATGGACAAAACACTTAGTAAATAGCAACGCATAAATGCAAAGTTTCAAAGTTGTGTGTGTCTTACTTGTGAATCAAGACGCAAGAGAATGAGCATAACAAAGAAACAGATGGACCACAGTTGAGGCAGGGGCATCATGGCTACAGCCTGAGGGTATCCTGGTATGAACGCCAGGCCTGGACCTGAAACACAACAGCATGATGCCAGAACATATCAAACATGCCAGCCAGTGTTGAATGTTTGTGTTTTAGTTTGGACAGTTTGTGGTGTGTAATGGCATAAATATGACAGCAGGAATGCAGTAAATTGAACAGCCACCTGTGCCTGTTCATATTAAGAGGGAAAAATCAAATGACATCAGGTTTTCACCATTACTCACGTGTTTGACTGTGATGGCACAATGGCACTGACTGATTTAGCCCACATAATATAGTCTGACTATTGGAACTCAAAGGATGCTGAGACCTGATTAGTATGGTAGTTAGTTTCCACAGCTGTAAAAATTATTTTTTGCCAGTGAGACCTAAGTCTTAATTTCAAGTTAAGCATCACAAAATGTCAACTTCCTGACACAAACATTTAGCAAAGCATTCGGTTTTCCTATAGAAATGTGAATACCACAGAAAAACCAATCCTTCTGTTCCACATTCCTCCTCTTCCTATAATCAAGATAACAAGGAAACTTTCACACAATGTTTGGATGCCAACATTGTGTGAAAATGTTGCCAATTTTCTTATTAAGTTTTCTTAGATATCGTAAATTTTGAATTTTCAGTGGCAAAAGTACTTCGTTGTTTTTCTTCCAGTGCTGGAAACAAGTTCCCATAGATTAGGTATAAACTCACTACTGAGAAATTAAGCTTTTGTAAACAAAAATGTCGAAATCTGTCACGGTTCTGGGTCACTTTGACCCAGTATTTTGAGTTGTTATTTTTTGGTGTGTTTTTGGATTATGGATTGTTTTCTTATTCTCTTGTAGTGATTGTGGTGGTGATGGTGGTGGTGATGATTATTAGTTTCATGTTTCTGTTTATCCGTGTTTAAGGATTTGTTGTTTCATGTATTGTTTGAGTTCCATGTGTTATATTCTGTCTGCCTCTCTGTCTGCCTCTTTGTTTAGTGGTTTCTTGTTTCCTGTTTTATTGTGAAGGTCTGTGTCTCATGTGAGTGTGTTCAGTTCTACTGCTCCCCTGTCTCGTTAGTCCAATTTCTCCCAGCTGTGTCTCCCTCCTGTTGCCCATTCCCTGATTACCACCCTGTGTATATTAGCCCTGTGTTTTCCTGTGCTCAGTGTCGCTTCGTACCCCCAGATCCTGCCTGTGTGTTCCAGTTTTATGGTTTGATTTCTGTTTTTGTTTGGTGCCAGCAATAAAGCTGTGTGTGGTCTTCAGTTACATTTCCATCTCAGAGTCCTTCATTTGGATCCACATCTCCACCTGCCTGCACAATGAGCCCTGACAGAAATCATTCCAAAAAATAATATTCCCCCAAATCAAGCTTAACAATTAAAACAGAGCCCTGAAAATTTTAAAGTCTTTCTTGTTCTGTTACCAAGTCTGTGACCAGTTGAGACATGCTCCCATAATATTGTTATGTAAGATTGAGTCCATTTATGGATCACTGTTATGTCACATTTATGGGTCCAGGAGAATATGATCGCATGTTTGTGATATATACCTGACTCTGCCACTTCTGCAATGGGAACACCTTGCTCATGAGCCATGAATCCCAGCACCGAGAACACAGCAAAACCAGCTACAACACTGGTACCACTGTTCAGCAAACACAGCATCAGAGAGTCTCTGCAAATCACAAAAACAAAGTGCAAAGTGCAGTCACTGCATGTGACAAAATATGAGGTTGTTAATATTTAAATATCTATTTAAAATTAAGGTAAATAACTACTGATCATCATGTACTTATAGCAGTTGTTGTTGTATTTGTTGTAGCTTCCCAGCACAATTAGGGAGCCCACACCGATACTGTAGGAGAAGAAGATCTGACTCACAGCCTCCATCCACACCTGTTCCAACAAAGCAACAGTATTACACTTGTCCACCTGTGTCAGACACTGTTAGAGATTTGAGCTCGTACCTGAGGGTCTATCAGTCGTGAGGGTTCAGGCAGAAGATAAAACATGATTCCTTCGAATGCTCCAGGAAGAGAGAGGCCACGAATCAAAAGTATTAACAACATCACGTAGGGGAAGGTAGCTGTGACATATACCACCTGTGGGAAAAAGTAACATTTCAGAGCATTTAAGTGTTTACTCAATATGTACTATGTATACATACTGTATATAGAGCTACAGTGAGGAAAAATAATTATTTGATCTCCAGCTGATTTTGTAAGTTTGATTGCTTATAAAGGAGTGAACAGTCTCTAATGTTTGTGGTAATTTAATTTTAATTGGGGGGGGGACGACAAGATATCCCCAAAAAGAACACATTAAATAAAAGTTATAAACTGATTTCCATGTCATTGAATGAAACAAGTATTTGAGCCCTTACAGCCTAGCCAGAACTCTGGTTCTCATAGATTTGCTGTATGTTGCTCTGCATTTAGTTTCTCACATTTTTGATTAGTTATTGGCTTTTGGTTTTTCTTATTTTTGTACCTTTGTGTTTTTGCGCCTAAATAAAATGCTAGCCTTTTGTTATTGTTAGATTTGTATTTTTGATTATCATTTATGCTTAGAAATATCTACTTATATATGCTTAGAGTTTTATAATTAGTTGTAGACAATAGAGGTTTGATCCTTAGTAGTCTGCAGAGACGTTGTTTTCATTCCAGAGTGCTCTGGCATTCACACCCACATTCTGGGAGCATGGGAGAGGTCGTACCTTGTCTTATTGTTTTATGGTAGGATAAACGTATCTATATCTGTTTTAGGCTAAGTGCCTTCTGTTTAGACCAGCAGGTTTAGGGAAGTCATTTATGGGGTCACACTCTGACCCCACACACGCACACACAATGCACAGGCAAGGTACTCTTTGTTTGTAGACATCATATGTTAATGAACCTATGTATATTCATGTAACCTCAATAAAAGAGCAGTGTTACGGGGGGGGGGCGGACGAGAGCAACTGGGGTCGAGCGAAGGAACGGCGTTTGTCCAGTTCTCTCCCGTGCACTAGAAACATAAAGAACTTTGCCTACTCGTGTCTTGCTTTGCTGTGTAATTAAATTATCTTGAACGTTCCAGCAAATAGGTTTAAGTTACAAACCTATCAGCTATTAAGTTCATTTTTCCTTCTGCCATCTGCGCAGGGGTCCGTTCATTGCCACACACAATCTGCATCCACAGATCGTTGTCAACAATTTTCTATTTTTTTGTCCACAAAATATGGGAAATCTGTGGAGGTAGCTAACACTTGAAGTTAAATACTTATCTCATTCAATGACATAAAAATCAATTAATTCCATAACTTTTATGTCACATTCTGCCTCATTCCATTGAAATTAATCTACCATTTAAATTAGAGAGTCATTAGAGAGTCATGTATTTGGACAAACTTATAATTTCTGCAGGGGATCAAATAATTATTCCCCCACTGTATTTACCAGCAAAACTACCTTTCCTGTAGATCTGACTCCTTTCCAGATACAAAAGTAGCAGACGATCCACATAGCAATGAGGCACAACAGCACCTCCCACTGGATGCTGCCTATTTCCTCAATGCCCCCAGAGATCATCAGCACTCGTCGTCTAGAAGTCAATTAAATGCAGAAGGTAAAAAAAACAATATATAGATTGATAGACAGACAGATCGATAGGTAGAAGGATATAGATATATATAGCTGGAAAAGGTACAAAATGTTTTATTGGGCTTTAAATAACTTGGTATGTAGGCTTTTTCAGTCCATCTACATAGACATACTCCCAAAATTCGGTGGCTGCAGAGGTCGAGTTTGTCTGGTTGGTCCAGTGGACGGTGTTATTTTTTGTTGAAAAGTCTACACAGCCCTCTGAGAAGAGAGTGTGAAAAGTATCAGAACAAAAGTTTAAATACCTAAACATACTTTGACAATTTTTTATTGGAAAATGGAAATAATCTTTGCATTTTACCTGTGTTCCAGTCGTTGTTGCAGGAGGCCCAGGGGAGCTGAGAGCTGAAGGAGAACACGAGGTAGAGCAAAGCCCAGGAAAGAATAATGATGTAGGTCATACAGCTATAGAAAATGATTAGTTGTCCACCAAAGCCTATCCCTGAAAGGCATTTACAGATAATAATTACAAAAATCTCCATTTATCAATTACTCAGACTTCTTGTTGTTTTAGGGTTACTCAGCAGTTTTGGCTTGAGGTCTGTGACTGTGGTGGCCATTTGAATGAACTCATTGTTATATTCAAGAAACCAGTTTAAGATGATTTTGTGATATAACAGGATAATATGACATTATCCTGCTCAAAGTAGCCATCAGAAGATGGCTACACTCTGGTCATAAAGTGATGGACAAGGTCAGCAGCAATACTATAGGCTTTGGCATTTAAACGATGTGCAGCTGGTACTTAAGGGCACATGGTGTACCAAGAAAATATCCACCACATTATTACATCAGCACGACCACCACCAGCCTGAACCACTGATCCAAGGCAGTGTGGACTCATGCTTCTATGCCAAACCTACCATCAGAAAAAAAGTTTGCTCTCTTCTCTAGTTTTGGTGAGATTCTGTGAATCTCAGTTTCCTGGTCCTTATCTGAGTGGCACTTGATTACAGCTGAAGCCCATCTGCTTCAAGGTTGTTGTGCATTGAGAGATCCTATTTTTCCCAGGATATATTGGATGTGTGTGTGTGTGTGTGTGTGTGTGTGTGTGTGTTTCATTTTGAATGAGCATATTTGATTTGTGTGCGGGTATTGAAATACATGTGTGCGTATTCAGATTTTTGCTACAATAATATGTCAAGATACTGTAGCAGGTTACATGTGAAAAGGAAGCCTAGTGAAAAGTTGGGTGAGCTGTAATTGTTACTTGCCTGTATTTTCAATGCTTTCAGCAAAATGTTAAGACTTTTCAGGCCAAAATCCTAATAATAATAATACATCGTAATAATGTGCAACTTTAAAGTCAACTTTTATTTCAGGCTGCTTGCATTCTGTTGCTAATTGCTAACTTAAAATATAATGGGTCCAAAAACTTGCAGCTACAGTAGCTTTTATGTGTAGAATTCAGTTGTGGGATAGTCCAGTGCTATTCCTTTAAAAACATAAATAAAGAGTGCCACAAACACTGTTTTATACATTAGCTGGGTAGCAGTCTGCAGTAAACGGGACAAACACATTCCAATATTTAATAAAATTTAGTATTTCTAATTTGAACATCATGGAAAATATTTGAGATAATGTAGAAAAGTGAACCACACACATAATATTAGTCTTAACATATTAAATTTAAATGCATAGAAATTACATCTTGTTCCTTTAGAACTGCCTAGTAGCAAATCACTGAGAATGACTTGCAAAACACAATGTTACCAGTTCTCAGTTAAGGCTTGAACTTATAACTTGAAGTTTGTGATAAGTACAGAATTGGCTTAACTTTAAATACTTATTAACTTGTTCACTACATTTTGAGACACAGTTGTGCAAGACTGTGAATAAATGGCCATTGAAGAGAAGGATAACATGTTTTCTTGTTAACGATCCCTGAACAGCTTACCTTCTGCTAATGGGCACAGCTTCCTCCAGCAGGTAATGCCACCCTCCTGGGTGAATTGCCCTATAGTTGTCTCCAGCAGGAACACGGGTACACCACAGGTTACCACAAATACCAGATATGGCACCAGGAATGCACCTGAATTAAAAACATACACAGTAAACACACCTGTTGTGCAGCTTCTGAGTAACAAGCTTACTCAATTATGAATTGAAATTTTATTTCAGTCAACAACAACAACAACAGATTATAATTTTACATAAAAGTACTCAAACAGAAACCGAAAAAGGAATAGGCTGAAGCCTTATGGCTTATACTTATCCTATCCCTTACCCCCATAGAAATAATCAAATCCTTAACCAAGAAAATAAATAGCATTGATAAATAAGTTGTATAACAGTTTGAAAAGAAATCATTGATAAATCAAGAAATTAAATCAACACAAAAAAATTATAACAAACCAAATTTCTATAACCTTGGATAATACTAATTTTTAAAATCTTCCTGAAGAATGACAAAGAAAAACACATCTTCAGTTCATCATTAAGTCCATTCCATAATTTCACTCCCAAAACTGACACATCTATACTTAACATTGGTTCTCACTTTAGGCATTTCAAACTTATAAGACCCCCTCAAATCATATTTTCCATCTCTTAGTTGAAACATACTTAAAATACAAATTGGAACATTCTTTTTCATCACATGATATATCATTTCTAAAGTTTTAGAATATATAATGCCCATGAATTTTAACATAGATGATCCTACAAAAAACTGGTTGGTGGACTCCCTATATCCAACTTTATTTATTATTCTAATAGCTCTTTTTTGCAATTTAAATATTGAATCCAAATATGTTTTGTATGTGTTCCCCCAAATTTCTGCACAGTAGGTCATATAAGGCAAACAAAGGGAAGTATACAATAAATAAAGGCAGTTCTTATTCAAAAAATCTCTTGTTTTATAAAGAATAGAAATAGACTTGGATAATTTTCGTTTCACATGTTTTATGTGGGGCTTCCAACAAAGTTTATCATCAATAATTACTCCTAAAAAATTTTGTCTCATATACTCTTTCAATTTCAACATTATTTAAATTCAATTTTACTTTAATATTACTTTTATTACCTCCAAATAACATAAATTTTGTTTTACTTTCATTCAATGATAGTTTATTAAATACAAACCATCTATTTAACTTCATGAGTTCTGTTTCCACTGTTTTCAGTAATTTCTTTATGTCTTTTCCAGAGCAAACTAAGTTTGTATCATCAGCAAACATCACATATTTTAAAGTATCACTGGCTGTACAAATATCATTTATATAAAGTAAAAATAACTTAGGTCCCAAAACAGATCCTTGCGGAACTCCACAAGTTACTTTTCTAAGTTTAGATTTCATGTTATTAATACTCACATATTGGAACCTATTATTCAAGTAACTATTTAACCAAAATTGTACAACACCTCTTAAACCATACCTTTCACACTTCCGTAAAAGTAAAGAATGATCTATTGTATCAAAGGCTTTACGTAAATCAATGATATTAAACAAGGACCTGGTATATGCTTTTAAAAACAAAACATATATCAGTTGTTTAAACATACTACCAAAATTAAGATGACATATTGGGAAGTTATTAAAGGAAATTTTTACTAATGAATTGTTTGACTAGTACTTTTACTACTACTGCTGCTACAACTACTTTTTACTAGAACTTTGTTTGTGAAAGTTGAATTCACAAAAAAACTACAAGAGGCAGATTTTTATAAACTAATAATATTGTTTTCTTCTTTTTTAATTATAATGATTCTATTGCAAACAATCAAGCTGCCTGAGGACTGGATGCTATTGGATTCAGTGGAGCAGAGTCTTCACTTTGGATGCTGGCATCAGATTTGATGGAATCAACCTGCTGCCAAATCCAAAATGCTTCAAACAGATAGAGAGCCCTGCTTGACTTCACCTACAGTTGTCATGTGAGCTACCTCAAGTGATAAAATTAACATTTCCTAGAGTACCAATGGAGTTTGAAGTCACACTTTCAGTCTCATTTCAGTGACTGTGAACTAGTAATAATAGACCTTGAACTAGTACTGTTTTGTAATTTATTTTGCTCATGCTTTGCACAATCAATATAATCCTACAAGATTAATACACCTTTAATGTAGTGAGTTCCTCATTTGCTTACCCCCTCCATTTTTGTAACAGAGGTAGGGAAACCTCCACACGTTCCCCAGGCCGACAACATTTCCCGCCACAGCAAGGAGAAATTCCACCTTATTTCCCCAGTGTCCTCGCTCCTCCACCTCTGGCTGTGTGTCTCTCTGCATAGATTTTCTTTTCATCATTTCTAAAGGTTCAGGGTGCGGACAATGATGGCACTGCGCTTGGTGCTCTAATTGTCACTGCCTTTATATTCTCTGCCAATTCTGTGTTGAAGAATGAGTTAATAAGTTTTCAGTAGAAAAATTAATTAACTCCAGGAGAGTAACTGGATGAAAAAAAAAGGTTTCAAAGGTTTCACTTTTAACTTGTTGGGGTCTATGTTTTTCAAGATGCATCTCAGATATAGGAGGGGTTAAAATTTAGTTGTGCTGCATCACTATGTCACAACTGCCGATCGTTAAGCTATACTTGCCAGGCTTTTGTGTTGGTCAAAGTAAAAGTTTAAAGGAAACCATTTAAAGCCATGAGAAGATTGCGAGTTAAAAGATGGGAGAGGAAGAGGAGGTGCACTTAAAATTGGGGTCTCCTGTCTCTAATTTAACTGTGAGTTTGTGTTTGTGGTTGCAGTAGCTTCTGATTGGTTCTCTAAGGCTGGCCCAGAAGGTGGGGACAGCCGAATTTCAAATGAATAACTGAGTAACAGGTTTTAGCAAGGTTCGTAGGAAAGTAGTTAAATATTAAATTTTAGTTTAAATATTTAAGCTAAAGTCCTACAGCTGAAGCACAAAGGAAAGTTTCTCAGTACATTTGTGTGGGATGTGGGATTTTTCAGTTAAATATAAACAAGGTGCATGACTCTGCAAAATTCTTTGTTTCCAGCTTTGCCATATTGTATTTAAGGTCTAAAGACACTAAGAGTTTTCAATACTTTCTTTTTGTAGATAAATGGACGTCAGAGAATAAAAGCGAAGACCCATCAGTCAATTCTTATCATGGGCCACTCTTTAATATTACCCTGACTAGTGGTATACAGATACTGCTTCGTAAATTTGTCAGATGTCTCCATGATATCATCTTAAAACAACTTCTTTTTTTTTTTTTTTTTAAATGTGTTAAGAAATGCATTATTTCATCTTGGCCATTAAGTGATGATGGTCTGTGAAAACAATCCAGTTATTTACCCACTGCTTTATTTGATTTCTACTTTTTTATTCCACATTGGGAAAATCCTGGATCCAAGTTCTAGGATTTTGAGTTTTTCTGTGAGTTATTAGTTCTTCTGGGTTTTTAGAAGTGATTTATGTTTTTGTTTTGTATCATTTCATGGTTTTCTATTGTAGTGATATTTTGCAATTCCTAGTTCTGAGTTTTGTTATAAAAATTTAAATTTTATTTATTTAATGGACAATTCACAACAACAGTTGCCAGGTAATGTATATTGCAAGGTAAATACACAACAATAATATAAGAAAACAGAGAAAACCCCAACAATCATATGACCCCCTATAAGCAAGTGCTTTGGTGACAGTGGGAAGGAAAAACTCCCGTTTAACAGGAAAAAACCTCCAGCAGAACCTCAGAGAGGGGCAACAATCTGGCACGACCAGTTGGGGGGTGAGGGTAGAAGGACAGGACAAAGACATGCTGTGGAAGAGAACCAGAGATTCAAGGGTGTAGATTTGGTTGTGGCATTGGTGAGGACGGATGATTCAACCATCGAACCCTGCCCTGTTTCTTATTTTTTCTTTTTTGTTTTTGCTTTTTGATAAAAGGATATATATGTACATATATATATACAAAAAACTTGAATCTTACAGTGTTTATTTATCGGATAAAATACCGTTATTATTGTCCGGCCGGAAACAGGCTGGGAGTGTCCAAATTCAGAGGCTGCGTCCACCTGAGGACCTGGCCTTTGTGGTCTAAGTGGGCCGGGTCCTCCGAATGCCCAGTAGACCGGAAATGAGCAACTGTGAAATTGGACGGTCTAGCCTTCAGAATTACGTCACCTGCCGTCTGCTCCTTTCTGTCTAAAATATAACCGGACGCTGGCGTAGATGGTCGAATAAACTGCTGTATTCACACAGCTGCTTTCACACACTGCTGTGTGACAGCAGTTTATTCAGCTGTGTGAGAACCCGGAGGAATCCTCCCAAGGGATTGATAAAGTTTTATTTAATCTAATTTAATCTAATAACTTTAATCTCAGCCAAACCGATTTACTCACCAACAAATAAAACACAACTAAAGCACTGAAAAAGGCCAAACAATAACATGTTTAAGTTATTTGATGTTTACACAGCTACATTCTCGCCTGAAAATGTGTTAAAAGTTTATTTTGCGACCCAGAAAGAGTAATAAGAGTAAAACTAAGTAGCTGCAGTAATAGTAGCCATTGTTGGAAACTGAAATTGGCTGGGCCAGTCTGGGATATGGCTTTTCAGTTTTGTTGTCCGGGTGGAAAATCGGGAGAAATTGGGGAGAATGGTCGCCCCCAGAGATTTTTGGGAGGGGCACTGAAATTCGGGATTCCCCGGAAGAATCGGGAGTGCTGGCATGTATGGCCTAGCATAGCCTGTAACGTTATTGTGACGGACACATTATATGAGTGAACTTGACTTTAAGTGACTTACAGGTTTCTTTGAAAAATACTTTCTTATATCCAGGTTCTTCCTTTTTGCTGCCATCCTCCTCTTCTCCTCGCAGCGCAGGCTACTAGGTTTTCTTTCTATCGGGTTGTTTTTCTTTACTCAAAGGGATCAAATTATTGGTGGGGACAATTCAATAATCGCTGGATATTGGTGGGGACACGTCCCTTCCGTTCATGCCAAATCTACGCCCTTGCAGAGATTAGTAATAACTAATAATGAAATGCATAGAGGTGATGGTTGGTGTGATGCTTGGTTTTGGTTGTTTATGGTTTGTAATTTGTGCCTTTATAGTTTGGTTATAGATAACTTCATGTTCCTTCAGCCTTGTCTCTTTTTTTGGACTTTTTTTCGCATGTCAAGTTGATCTTGGGTGCACATTCAGTTGTGTCACTCTTCCCGTTTTCTTTTGGCAAGTGTTGTTCCTTCCATCTCATTTGTTTAGTTGTCTCCAGCTTGGTTTCCCACCAGTTCCAACTCCCCTCATTACCTTGTCTTTATATTGTCTGTGCATTCTGTGTTTTTGTGGAGTCCTGTATCCTAACTAATCTCTGATTTTTATGTCTTCTGTTTTTGTAATTATTTTCTTAGATTCTGGACTTTGTTTATGTTTTGATCTATCAGTATTAAAGCTTGCCTTGGTGTTATTGGTGCTGCTCCCCAAGTACAAACTACAAATGAATCGACCTCTCACACAGCCTTAAACGTGACAGGCATACAAATCTAGTTGTAGCAAAAATAAAAGGAAGTGCAATAAAAGATTTTTTATTCTTTGCAAATTTGCATCTTTTGAATATCAATATGAAAAAAAATTATTGGTGCTTCAGATTTTGCCTTTGAAAATACAGTAGAGCAAGCTCTGTATCAAGTCATCAACAGATAATTTTGACCAGCAAAACATTTGTAATCACACGGGGCTAAAGCAGAGGAAAGCACAGCAGGCCTAACAGCAAGAAAAAGAAGCCTGTGGGCATTTTCTGTCCAGTCCCACTGGTTTCTGTACTCTTGTTTTGTAGCTGCCTCTTCTGACCATTTGCTAGATGGCAGCGTTTCATGTTTCCAGCTTTGTCCCAAACCAGCATCTTTGCCTGAGTAGAGCAGCAGCTGGATGTGTAGCTCACAAACAGTGGCTGAGATACATCCAGCGACCATTCTGAAATATTCAAAGGGGGGCCCCCTGTCTCTAATCTGGCCTTGTGGTTGTGTTGCTCTTGGTGGTGGTGGTAGGCTCCATTTGTTGATTTATCCCTCTGTGTCTGTTGCAGCTCAATGCCAGGCTCTCCAAGGCTGTCCTCTGAGGTTGGGTTACTGTGAAACAAAATCAGAATACCTTCACCTTCCTGTAGCTGCAGAGCATCAAGGCCAGAGTGTCCGATATCTGATACAGACAGAGACACACTCCAGCTAGTCGCATTGCAAATTGCAGAACAGTTAGATTGGACTCGTGCTGCAGAGCAGGATGGTGGGGACGTGTCTGAATCCTGTAGGCAAGAGAAAATCATCATATACACAATAAACCAAAAAACAAGTTTTCAGCAGAATATCCTGCAGTTTCTCTTATTGCTCACCTGAGGGACCACAGTCAAGTAGGCCACTGCATAATTTGAGTCAGCAGAATGAAGATCATTTACAGTCAGTGTAAGGGTGACTGTCACCCCTGCCTGCGCTGTGGCTGGAGTCTGGAGGTACACCTGGTCACGAAAAGACCTTTGTTCTGCTACAAGAAAGCTGAAGGGCAAAAACATGAATTGTGAAATCATTTAACTTATACTTACAATACTGTGCCAGAGTTTTGAACTAGCCATCATTTAATTTATATTTTTCTTAAAATGCGAAATAGATGCAAGGTTTTATCTCCTTTCTTTTAGTAGTCTTCAGGAATAGGTCTCCAGGCTTCTTAAAAGACATTCAAAGGTCCTCTTTGAATGCCGGCTGCCTTTTGTTCCACCCTCTGTCAAGATCATCCCACACTGCTTCAATAAAGTTAAGGTCCAGGCTCTGGGGAGGCCAATCCATGAATAATAGTGTTCTACTTTGTGTTTTTCTATCCAGGTATGCTTTTAATGCACTGGCAGTGTGTTTGGGATCATTGTCATGAAAAATTAAGCCACTGCCAATCAGGCCCAAAATGGAATCATACCTTTCTGTGTTCTTACAGTTTTTTCTGAATGCTTAAACCCTAACTGTGATTCCTGTAGCACAATCTCTAAAACTATTCAGACTTATAGCAAAACCACTCACTGAGTTTGCAAAACTAAAAGCACAAAAACTGCTTTGCACTCAGTTTGCAATTTTGTAACACACACTTTGCAAAACTGTAGGCACAATTCACTGCACAACACTCAATTACCAAATTTCCAACACACTCCTAGCAAAAGTATACACATGTATGGCTATCATTAACACTAACTTGCCAACTGTCTGGCACACTTTCACATGTGAAAACTTTTTTAGATAATTAGTTCACTTTGCAATCAGCCTAAGCACTATAATACAGGTAAGCTGTGTGTGCGGAGTACAATGGAGGGAGCAGAAAGAGTGAGAAGTAGAGGAGGCCGAGGAAGAGGACGTGGAGGTGAAGAAGTAGGATGAAGAGGACGACAAGGACAAGGGGAGCAAGAGGAAGACGAGGAGGAGGGAGCAAGAGGAAGATGAGGAGGGGGGAGAGGAAGGGTAGGAAGAGTAAGAAATAGAATTGCTGATGACATCAGAGCTACAATAGTGGACCATGTAATCAACGGTGGAATGACCCTGAGGGTAGCTGGCCAATGGGTCCAGCCTAACTTGAGCCGCTACACTGTAGCAAGTATCATAAGGACATCTTGAAATGAGAATCAGTTAGTACAGTCACTTTGCACAAAGATTTGTAGCACTGCCATATGCCAATGAGAAACACACCAATACCATTGATGTAAAAATACTGAAATTGTTACTTTACAGAATTGCTAGATGACCAGATGCTGGGGGCAGAGGAAGCATGTTCACTGCAGACCAAGTAACCCATATAGTCATTATGGCGATTGCAAATAATCCTATACTTGGAAATAAACACTTGTGTTTGTTTTGATGTGTTTGAATAAACACCAGTACTTGAAGTTTGGATCCCTCTATGCTTATGGATCTATGACAGAAGTATGAGCTCAAACTGACATAGCCTACCTTGTGCACAGAGAAAGCAAAGGCCAGATGTGTTTTGTATTCATACCATCAGTGTGCAGTTGGCGCATTGTGTGCTTAGTAGATGATGGCTTGTGTGTACTGTTTGATACGGAAACACCATTTTTACGAAGGTGTGAAGAGTTAATCCAGCTGTGTTTGCTTTTGCAAGAGAACTACAATGTTTTGATTATTGGGTGACAGGTTTTCTTATTTGTGTGAAGAGTTTTGCAAAATTAGCCAATACTTACAAAAAATGTGCTTAAGCTATCAGAAAAAACTGTAATTGCATCAATTTTAACAAGATTCCCAACACCAATGGGTGAAATGCAGGCCAAACCATGACTGTAGATACTGACTGTTGTCATTCCATAAGACCCGTTACCACAGATTTTCAGTCCATAATTTGGTATATCTAAGCTTTTTCCCGTTTCCCTTCCTTGGGGATGGCTTCATGACGGCCTTTATAGGCATCTTTATCTGCTATGGATAGTTAAGTGGGCATGCCACTTCTTATTTTGTCCGCAACTGGTCTAATTTCCTCACACTTTTTAATGACACACTACTCAGCTAATAGTTCTTTTGAATAATCTTGTTGGTACATTTTGTTACTGTTTCACAGTGTTATCTTTGAAATTTTCATTAAAAAGAAATGGGAACAAATTATGTGTTTTAATAACAAAGTGCATAAAGTTAAAATTTAAAATTGGTTCTTTTCCCCATCTAAAGCACAAGTGCAAACTGCAATAGGTGCACACCCTTAATATATCCACTAGCAAAAAAGAAAATTAGAAAGCCAATCTGATATGAAGAGCAGAATTGAGGGGTGACTCAAGACTTTTGTACATAACTGTATAATTTAAAAAATATTTTGGATTACTAAGTTTACATAGTTTTCAAAGGTGAGAGAATGCCAGCGAAGGTGACAAAAGAAGCGGGATGG